AAGACGACTGCATTCACAAGACTGTATGGAACGAGCATCCAGGTGTCTAGAGGGCGCCAAAGAAAACGAGTCGATCGCCTATCTTCGCTTTTGGTACAAAGATCCGCGGGCCAACTCGGAACACGAGGCGGATGAGAGTGAGGATGAGCAGGACGAGGACGAAGACCTGGACGACAACAGCAGCAGAGCGAACTCGGATAGCAACGACATGGATATCGACGACGATTCGGTGATTGTGATCAAGGATGAGGACGATGACAGGATATGCCTCGACGGTAGGGAAGGCTCGGCAAGTTCTGCCACCACGGCAAGCTCAAACACTTTGCCTGTACAATCGCCCCGGACGTTTGAGTTGGAGGCTGTGGTTTCGTGCACATCAGACGGACTGGTCGTCGTGCTGCGCAGGGCACGACCACCGATCCCCGACCTGCAGCCCGTGGTTCCTTCGGCGTTCAACTACCAGAATGGCCTCTTTGCAGCACCGTGGGCCCAACAACCGATCGAACCCTACATACCGCCCGATCTCCTCTACACGTTCCGCCCGCCATTTCTTCCCCAGTACATGCCGCTCCGCGAAAGCGTCAAGGCGGCAGGCGGACCTCCGATGGACCGTAAGTGAAACCTTTCTCTGTCCGATGTGGGACGTCCCGCAAAGGGTCTGTTTCTCAACAAACTTTTCGTCTAGACACCACTGGATATTACCGAGGAGAACCAGAGACTGATTACCAACAGACCTAATGCGATCGATCCGGGATGTGGCCGTGTTTGCCTGGGCGTTAACCGGTATCAACGGAAATATGGCCGCCTATGGTCACGGCATGCCGAGGAGAGGAGCGCAACCACAGGATAGGCTTCCAGTGTGGGATCCAAATGGCAACAATCAAGAACAGGGAAAGGCGGCATATGAAGCGAACCACCACCCACTAGCCGGGGCCCCTCATGGTTACGTTCGAACTCGGCATGCATCATTAGACGACGGAATGTATGGGAATCATCAACAATACAGTCGGAACTCATGGTCACCACCGGCAGCGGCACCATCGCCTTATCGGTACGGCGGCGGATATGAGGCCAGTCAGCAGCAGCAGCAACATCGAACTTATTACTCTCAACAAACACAATCACAAGCAGCACAACCAGGACCGGCCCGTTGCCAGCTACAAACACCACAATGGGGCGAGCCATCATCATCTCGCTCATCAATACCCAACCACGGGCCACTCCCACCAAATACGGGTGAGCCATCGGCATCAACTCGATATTTCTGGCAGTAATTTTTCTCATCATGAAGGTGTTTCGGCTGGTTTTGGATTTCACCAGTCATGTATCACATGCCGCATTTTTTACACAAGACGAAAAATTTGGTCGAGACGAATGGGGAGATTTTTATTCACATATTAATGGCATTGTTTAGTTCAGCTATTTTCACCACATATCAAAAAAAACAACTGCATAAGGCATGGGGAACTGATACAGATAAAACAACCAATCACTCTAATACTTTTTCGTTTCACGCTCTGGGTTCTGTAGGTTTTGGGAAGAGAGATGATACCCTTTTGGATTTATGGAAGGCGGATGGAGATAGTGGGGATGAGGAGGGGGCATTTTGTTATTTAGTAATTAATACTACTTATGGAAATTAACAAAAGTTTATACAATTGTGTGGTTGAGGTGATGGGTAGCTGCAGGAATAGAGGGATATGTTCATGAGTATAGTGGAGGGAGAGAGGGAATGATGCCGTGGGTTTCTGTAAATGTATATTCTCCCCGAGACTTGATAGTCACCCCATCTACGCCGTGCTCCGTGAACAGAGGGGGCAGAGAGGGAGGGAATGGTCACACCAAGGGATCCCTTCACAGAGAGAGAGAGAGAGAGAGAGAAACTGGGCCCTCTCGTTAATCACGATCCCTCCGATCGTGTGTCACAAGCATTTATTCGCTCTTTTTCAACTAGCGGGACACAGCAGCTTAGCTTTTTATCCTTTGATGGGAGATATCCCGGTCGGTCGGGGGGTTCGGTCTCGGGAGAAAAAAAATTTATTCATCACAGTGTCCGTCGAAGGCGAAGGGCGGAAGGGGAAAGGCATGATCGATATATAGAGGGTGAATATGGGGAGGTGCAGAATCGATGCTGGATATACAAGTTTCATTTACCTACCAACCTGGTCCTCAAGGTTCCGGAGGTGAGTGGGAGATATTGCTGATGATAAATGAAGAAAAAAACAAACCACATGACCCCCATCCTGAACGCAAGCTGCCGTTTCGTCAACAATGAATGGAATCACCATCAAGACTAATGACCCCCAGAACCCAGAAAAGGCAGGTGGGTCAAGACACCCAAAAAGTTGGAGAACCAAAGAGAAAAAAAGGGGCCCAAGCTCCCCCCTGCCTGGCTTTGGAGTTGGGTTGCCCCACAATGGACTAACAGCTGAGGTACCCCGGTACCTGGCTTTTTGCTTGGCCCGGCAATCTGGCCGCTAGGTGGTCTCTGGCAACCGTCAGTTCTGTTTGAGAGAGTTGCGCGGCGCTGCTTTACAACGACGGCATTGGCTTTGAATAGCGAAACAAACTGGTCGCGCATGAACACCTCGAGCGTTGGGAAATATAAACGACGGCAATAATACAGCAATAACCAAACGGGTCAAAAGCAGGAGGTCAACGGCACACAAGAAGAGACACAATGGCGGCCCCGAACAGAAGCCACTACCAATCCACCCCCCAAGTCGACCTCGAGAACAACGACGAGGATATCCACGATTTAATCGATCCCGATGATGGTAACCCCCCTTCCTCTCCCTTTCCCCCCTTTCCCCCCTTTCCCCCCTTTCCCCCCTTTCCCCCCTCTCATTACTAACCTCTTTTTGTTTTCCTTCTCTTCGTACAGCGGACCTCAACTCCTTCGACGACCCCCTAGCCCCCTCTTCCTCTACCTCCCGCCCCCTCCCCCAAGGCAGCATCACCTCCGCCTCCCAAACCGCCACAGCCCTCTCCTCCCGCTGGGGTTTATCAGGTGAAGACCGCGCCGCACCCCTAAACACAATCGACGAGCCCGTCTCCGCCACCCTCCTTAGGGATCTCTCCGCCATCTGGTCCAAGCTGAAAGAAGTCCTGTACCCAAAGTACCTCTTTGGCGGGTCCATGTCCTCGATTTCGGACGTCAGAAACTTGCGGTTGGCCCAGGCAAGGGAGGAAATTGTTGGTTTAGCGTCAAGGGCGATGGACGCGGATAGCTTGCTGAGCAACAACCACATGAGCAGCGGGCTGAGGGATTGGGATTTGTGGGGGCCGTTGGTGTTTTGTCTTTTGCTGTCGACGCTGCTGAGCTTGAAGAGTAGGGAGCAGCAGAGGGAGGTGGTGTTTAGTGGGGTTTTCGCTATGGTTTGGGTTGGGATGGGGGTTGTTACGGTCCAGATAAGGTTGTTGGGGGGGAATATGTGAGTACTGCTCTTTTTGGGGTTGTTGTTGTTGTTGTTGTTGTTGTTGTTGTTGAGAGGGGGGATGGCTGACATGAGAACAGATCTTTTGCGCAGAGTGTCTGTATCATTGGGTATACCCTCTTTCCGCTCGTCATTGCCGCGTTGCTGTCGGCTGTGAGTCTGATTTGGATTGCGAGGATTCCGGTTTATTTGGTGTTGGTTGGGTGGAGTTTGGCGGCGGGGGTGAGTATTCTGGGGGGTAGCGGGGTGGTGAAGAATCGGGTTGGGTTGGCGGTGTATCCGTTGGCGGTGTTTTATTTGGGGTTGGGGTGTTTGTGTTTTATCTCTTGAAGAAGAGAAATGGTGTGGTATGGGGAGGGAGTTAAAGGGGAGGGAAGAGGAGAGGTGTATTGATAGGTGGGGACTTATTCAACTACAGCAGTCAGTGTATCCGTTTCGGAGCTTTTGGTTCCTACGAGTTAGTTAGGTAGGCAGGTAGGCTGGCGTTTGAAGGGGGGTCATGGGAAAATATTGAGATTCTACTTTTATATGTGCTTTGTTGAGCGTCACGCTGTGGGGGTGGTTAGCCGGATCTAAGTAGTGCTGGGACTGTGGTGGGGGTTAGATGTAGTGTTGGACAATATCTCTCTCTCGCGCTCCCGTCCTGAGGTTATTTTTGCGGATGGAGTGAAGAGTGCCTGCAATTGACGTGTCAACAGACCAGTGCTGGTAGCAATAGCAGTCAAAAGAGAGAGTGCCAGGAGCAATTGTGTGATTCACGCCAGGAACTTGGGTCTGACAGAGATCAGAAGTTGTTGGGGAAACCCCTGAGATATCAGACCATTACATTATGTGGAAGTTATGCCTGTTTTCTTCTTATCAAAACGGGGATGGGAGGAGGGGGGTATATATCTGGCGAACCAGCTGTAGAATGGGGGGAGTGGAGAAGAAAGAAGCGTTGATAGTAGGGGAGAAGGAGGGGGCGAGAAGGAGGAACAGAATTTGACGGGGGGTAGGAAACAAATAGAAAATGCCGGAAGATATTCTAGAGGTACTGGGAAGTATGAATAGGTTCTTAGGGTGAGTTTGGGGATGCTGGGTATGGTAATGACCTATCTATGTCTCAATTAGACCAGTATCTAAAGAGAAGCTCATGGTTCTTTGTTGTGGGATTTGTCGTTATGAGCAATGTCGGCGAAATAAGAGAATTATGGTGGTGTTGGATATTGAGTTGTTGCTATCCTATTCGCAGTTCTACAAGGACTGGTGGTTTATCTTCAGAAATACCAAATCTCTATAGAGTATAGTGTACCATTTGGCACTTGCACGAGGTCATAGAATAGTCCATCAGCTTGGATAAGTAGGGCGAACAAGGTTCAACTGGCCCCGAATAGCAGTATTCTATTGTTTGACCGGAGTTGAAGTATTGGCTAAAAGCTCATCTACCTGAACCGAGGAGAAACAGAAAAAAGAGTTCCATGCTCTATACACCCACACTCGACCCTTCGAGTCACCTTTTTCCTTCTCTAAAGCCCAAGTCATTCATCTAAAAGGTTGAGGAAATTTACTTTGTCCAAGTTGTCACATAGACGCCATCCGGCATAGATCGCAAGCTTGACAACCCTACACCAACAACCACCAACCGTGCAACGCAGTAAACAATAGCAGTGAAATAAAATAAAAATAGATAGGTTAACCGCACCGTGCATCATATTTCTAGGGTAGACATTGGTCCTGGCTGCTTTCTCGACCATTTTCCTTGTTCCCTTACCTTTCACAAGATCCGCAAGGGTTTCGAACTGTAGCGCGTATTGAGGTCGAATTTCCCTCCTGAAATTTGGCCATGATCTGAATATAATTGGGGATTGTTTCAAGCCTCAAGTCGCGGACCGTGGTACTCTCGTCTTTACCAGGGCAGAAGCAAGCTACCAAACACGGCCTGAAGTAAAATCCAAGACGTTTGTAAGACTGTATGTTTCCCCAACAGCTAACGAGCGGGCTGGCACGCTGTCATTTGGCACTCGCTCAGGCAACCCCCTAGTTCTCTCCTCCCGAATACCGGTCAGAACACCCCAAAAGCTTTCAAACACCTTTTCGTCCGGACCAAACTCGGGATAGCCAGTCTCCTGCTTCGATTCACGGGTTGTGTCGTCCCTAATTTGGTCCTCGGTGGAATCCTGTTGATCCCCGTTGACCTGTACGCCATTCCACGTACCAGAAGGCCCCCCTCTCGACTTGATACCGGAATCCACATGCTTCTTCTGGACAGCATTCTCTCTCCCCGATTCATTTCCCCTGGAAGGTCCCTCTAGACTTCTAACTGCCCCCTCATCGTCTGAGGCTGGGCGAAGTTCAAGCTTGATAGGTACTGAGACAGCCCTAGGTTTGCACCAATACGCGATCCAAGTGCCAACACCACAGATAGCAATCGCCAGGGTCAGTGTTTCCAGCTGCGCAAATGGGAGCTCCCGAAAATGGCGCGCAATAAGAGTGAGTACAAGTTGCAGAACCTGCAGCATGGCAACCGCCTTGGCAAAGTTGTCCGACTTGCCCTTGTCTTTAATATCATCCTTGCTGACCTGAAGTTTTTCGAATTGATCAAGATTGTGCGCCAGGTGGCTGCCGAGTACAGGCGTGAAAGTTCTCGTGTCATTTTGAGAAGCGTCCGAGGCAGTCTCGAAAGCTTGTGAGCTCTCTAATGATGACGCCACCATACGTTATGTCCAGGGACATGTAGATGTTGAACAGTCCAGGTACAGGCGAAGACTGTGATGGCACAGCTCTGAATGATGTCGAATGCTCCGCGGCGGTTAGAATTTGGTTGCCAACTGACCTGTTCCATTATTCGCGAGAGGGTAGTATTGGGCAAAGATACGATGATGCTCCAAACGCAGGCTCTGTGTATAGATCATTCAACCAGTTTGGCTCGAAAGGCGGATCAGCATGGGTGATGGGGGAGAGATGGCTGTGCCCAGCTGGATAGGTAGCTATTCAGCCGTGATTCCGATAATATTCTAGCCTGATCGAAGTCTCATACTTCGAGAGGGCCTATCATGCATGAGCGGCTGGCGTAAGAATGATTGATGCCCAACAATCGATGTGGCTTGGTGGTTGAGGGCCAAGCCCGTTAGTACTAGCTCAACCACCTTCTACCTATCTGACAGAGCACCTACTTATCGTCCTCGATGTCTCCCTGTCTCGCCCTCAAGTTAGTATACTCGCCAGACATTATCATTACTCCCATTCTTCCAGACTGTTCGATAAAAAAGGTAGGGATTCACTCTTGGCTACCTGGCACTTGCCTATCTTAGGTATTACACAAACGTCGAGCACCATGCCCATTCTCCCAGCCTCGTTCAAATCCTCTCCCATTATCGCACGTTACAGATTACCCAGAGTGCCGAAAAGGGCCAAAAAGAGTTTGCAAACTTCAGCCGCCGACGGCAATGTCGAACAAGTCATGAAGGACCTTGAACACACCGACATCAACAGCAAAGACCAGACGGAAATGGCCGCCACTCATGTGGCTGCATTTAATTCCCACACGAGAGAGTTGTCAAATTGCTTCTGGAGCAACGGGGATTGTCCATCAACCTGGTTGACAATCATGGGAAGACAGCTCTACATCTGGCAGCGCTATCTTAATCTGTGGAAGTAGTGGAGACCTTGTGCAACGGTGGCATCAACATTACTGCCAAAGACAAGTCTGGACGGACTGCACTTGATGATTCCATGGACGGTCCGACATCTAAACCGATGTCATGTGGTCACCACGTTATTGGCGTATGAAGAAGCCAAAACTACCATAAATGACAAGGACAAATACGGGTGTACCGCGTTGTCATGGGCTTTTCTGATGAGGGATCAAGATACTACCAGAATTCTTCTTGCTTCCGGAGCAGATACAACGGCAGCTCGGCTTGAGCGAGCCCTGCCTCTCTATTGGATTCTTATGGAGGACCCCAATACGGCCATGCTTGTAGTTCGAGCCTGGATTGACAACAATTACGAGGCAAGAAACAAGAGGGCATACAACATGGCGCCCATGTATGAGTCCAAGTTCACGGTTGGACACGTGGTTGGCCAGGTGCCTGAGGCAGTGCTGAGAGGATGGTTCGATCTGACGTGCCGAGCAGCACTTGATGGGATAATTATCTGGGAACCTAACAAAGAGCACGAGGATCACTGGTACAGGATGTCTCCTGACCTTGCCGGCGCCTTCAGGTTGGACAACGCCGCGTATTGGGAGTTTTGCCTTCCCACACGAATGGTTCAGCCTTCTACTACTACCGTCCACTGAACATCAACCCAGGAATACTGCCCTCCATGTCGCTGGGCGGAAGGGAAATACCAAGTTTTTCTTACACGTTTATAGATTCGACATTCACCGGCAAGGATTCCCCAGCTCAACCACTTATGCATGCTGTGATGATACGAGGTGCAGATGGCATATCGCCTTTACAGATCCTGGTTGACGGGAAGCACTGGGAAGCTCTGCGCGCAATTCTTGATCCTAGATTCTTCGCTCTCGAGTCCATGTCTCGATATTATTTTCCAGCCACAGAGTTTTGGAGGTCACTTTCCCTTCTGTACGATGCTATAACTCAGATGCTCAAAGATCATGAGTTGGATTCCCCTGTTCCAGCAAGCAGCGCACTCGAATGGGTAGCTGCAGGGGGGTTTCCAGATCTCACCGAGTCAATTAAAGAGCGAGGTAGCGACAATGAGGTTTTGCCCAGGCACTCTATCAAGCACACGAAACGAATCCAAACATTCAAGTTGATGATCCTAAGTACAGCTCAAGCTGGACTCCTTTAGGTGCGGCTGCTGCCTTGGGTCACCTCGAAACTGTTCAGAAACTTTTGAGCCAGGTCGAAACTGACCTACATTCGGCATCAGTACCGGGGGCCGTCCTTCAAGACGTAGCTCACAAAGGGTTAACCTATACCCCGCCTGCTCTCGCTGTCTACAACTCGCATACGGAAGTTGTTGAAACTATTCATCAAACATGAAGCTGTGGCTTCGCGCAGGTTGAACCTGACTCTCTGGGTGTTCGGAGACGGTGGCTCGTTTCAATCGCCACTGGGAATGGCACTCGAATACGGTCATTGGGACATCGCATCTCATCCACCCGGTGGTGTCATAATTCTGGAGCAAGAGTTGGACTATCTGAAGAGCAATCCATGCGCGATTAAATGGGAGGAAACATCATCCATCACAGGGCTTGAATCACTCATAATGACGCTTACAGAGGCACATAATAGTCTTACCGGCCGTTCAGACCGTGACGTGAGGGAAGGGAGAGTACACTAGATATGTACGGAACTTACCAACCCCAAACATTCCCACCCAGGTAACCTTGTAACGTATAGCTTGAAATACCGCATAATCTCTTTCAATTGATATATATACAACACTTGAAATTCAGGTGACTGGAATTATAGCTGGAAAAGTACCTCACTACATCAACGCCAACTACCATTTGTACCAACGTTAGGTGCCTATTCAATCTTCACGAAAACAACTTCCAGGCACCGTACTTTGCCCTAAAAAATGTCTTTTTATTTTGGATTGGTTAAGAATTCATTGCGTTATTGTTATTGGTAAATCTCAACACCAACCCCTTTCCTTACCCCTTTTCCCCCACCAATCCAACCCCTCGACATCATCACCAAAATCAACTCCCCAAAAAGCAAAAGATTGACCGACTAAGTATGCCCGCACCAGGGGTCGAACCTGGGCCCCATGAGATAGGAAGCTTGGATCATTTTTTCTCTTTCTTTATGGGTTTCATGTAATTCGAACACTGGACGCTGGACGCTGATCCGGAACGCCTATATAAATTCCCACCTCATGGAATGCAACCACTACACCACACGGGCTTTTGGTTTTCTGTTGGCAAGTGTGTAAGAGATGGGAATGATGTAGGTCCCTGCCTGGAGGAAGGAGGGGGTGGTGACGGAGGGGAGAGTTGAAAAGGGGAAGGAGCCTGGGGGTAGGAGGAAGGAGAGGAGGGACAGGAGAGTTGGCTGAGATGGTGGCTCGTTGGGGATTTCTGAACATCAAAGGTATGAAGGGGTAAATGTAGAGAGGTTGTATGTGTGCTTGTTCAAAGCCGGCCATCCGCACAAGCGCCGAGAAAAACACCATCGAGAATGTCATCACCCCCTACCTACCTGACCAAAAAATGCTATGTACAGTTCACCCTCACCTCTCAACTTCCTCCGCAACATCCACCACCGCGATCTTTACATCCCCCCATCCAGTAGCAGTATGTCAAGATTGCACAAGCCAAAAGGCATACTCAAACAGCAACAAGAAAAGCAAAACCCAAGAACGGCAAAACATGATCAACTCCTGCTGCTGTGCCCGCGCCAGGAATCGAGCCTGAGCCCCATGAGGTAGGGAGCTAAGTAATCCAACACTCGATAAATCCCACAACCCGCTTCAAATTACCTCATGGAATGAAAACCACTACACCACACAGGCTGACGATTTGATCTCTCTCTGATGGGAAGTGGGAAAGCCGATGGGTTGATGTGATTGGAGGAAGGGGGAGGTGATGCTGGAGGGAAGAGTGGTGAGGTGAGGGTGGGTGTGTAGAGAGACGGAACTACCTAGGGGCCGGGTAAGAAGATGGAGTCAGTCACAACAGACGACGGTGTGTAACTTCAAGCCTCTCTCTTCCCTCAAAAAGCATCAACCACGGTCTAACCCATACACCCAAAGATAGCCACAAGCAAAAGGAAGCAAAACTTCAATGTCTGCCCGTGCCAGGAGTCGAACCCGGGCCCCCATGAAGCAGGATAGGAATATAACACAGCTGCAAGCAACTAATTCAAACGGCCCTACATCATGGGATGCTAACCACTACACCACACCGACTGGTTTTTGTTCTGCTTTGATGGAAGGTGAGACAGAAAGGAGATTGGTGTATCCTGGGGAAGGCCCGGGGATGTGTGCGGTAGAGGGGAAGGTACTCGGGGGTGTAGTACCCAGGAAACAGGCAGGAGCTCACTTTGGTGGTTAATCAGGGAAGGTGTCGATGGCGTGCTCGTTCAGGCATGGAGCTCTTGAAGATCAGGCTGCCGTTATGGATGCCATTGCAAGGGAAGAGTGATCCAAGGTCCGATGTCACGTAGAGAAAAATCAAGTACTGAGCTAGCATATTCTAATTACAAGAACACATAGGTCCAAAACAGTACACTGTGCCCAACAACATCAGGCAAAAGATGACATCCCACATCACGACGTGTGTTGTCAAAGAAGCAAAAGATTAATATGTTGTCCGGAGGTATATTAAGGGAGGGGGAGGGGGGCGGTTTCTTAGACAAGAGATCCATGCGGGGGAAGGCAGTCGGGGAGGCGAAGGAGCAGAAGGACAGGTGGGAGCTGAGCGGAGGAAGTGTGAGGCCGGACTTTCCAGAACAGGAGAACGCCATTGATTTGCCATGGCACATTGTTGCTCTTAGGGCATACAAACCGACAACGGTGACTGCTGCGAAATCAAGGACATATGCCGGCAAGGAGTGGTAGTTGTTGACCAACAATTTTGGCACACAGGACACAACAGAATCACCGGATAAACAACCAGGGAAAACCATAAAAGTCGAATATCAAGAGGCAGGATAACACCAAGGAACAGACCATCCTCCGTCACATCTCACACAGTTCTCAAAAAGGAGTGATATCCACCCAGCGAGAAAAAGCTCACGCCTGCTGCAGCAAATCCCGAGAAACTTCCAGGGGCCCAAAAATCAGCATTCCTTCCTTCCTCTCACGTCCACCTCTGTCTGCAAGGACAGATAGCTACTGATCAAATGAGAACAAAAAGAAAAAGAGATTTCCTCGCACCAGGATTCGAACCTGGGTCTCCAAGGTTGTTAGGACTGCCACCGTAGTAGCAGTTAATTGATGTTGTTGTTGGGAAGTGGTTCGGAAAGGTGGTACAAGGTTTGCAAGGAAGGAGCTGTGATTACCGAGGAAGGAGAGAAGTCGCTGGGTTGTAGTGGTGCGTTCGGGGAAGGAGCGTTGAAAGGGGGTGAGGGAAGGAGCGTGAAGAGGGTGAGGGAAGAGGGAAGGAACTGATCGAGGTAGATGAGGCAGGGCAGAGAGAGGGGCTCGGCGTCGGTTGTGTTTCTTGAAATCCACCACTGATATAGTAGTTGATGATACGTTAAAGCTCAAACTACCTACCTACTGCGATACCACGTTAAGATGTTCCGGACGGAGTGCTCCCCTCGATCCTCTCACCTGCAACTAGACAAGCCAAACCAAGGTAGATGATGAGGACTTTGAAGATTAGACACGATGTCCGAACCCGTCCTCGGATATCGTCCACTCTCTCCAGTCCGATCCCCGGCCCGATGCTGAAAAGCTGGACTGAAATCACATGCCAGACTTCCCCCCCTAGAACCCCCCATCTGGTCGGGCACCGAGCCACTCAAAGCCCTCTCCTCCCCTCTTTTCATACAGTACTATCCCATAACGCTCAACTAGGCATTGCGTTGTCCTTTCGTATCACCTCAGAAAAAAAATAAGTCTCACGTCCTCAATGGTAAGCAGTGCACAGCAAAGCAAGGATGAGGAATGGGGATGGTATTCTTGGAAGAAGCCCATGCAAGAAGACGCTAGAAGGAAAACGTGGATGGTGCTCGAAGGAGGTGGAGGATTCTTGTTTATAAGCAGCCGTCCCATCCATAACACTCGTCCAGATAAGTATGATCATCTCCACGTTACCTCCCATCACACCACCCGAAACATGACGTGCATGTAACCCATTTTCTATCCGTTGTTAGCGCGCGGACGTGGAAGCTTTCCGAGCCAGGAGTTTGACCGGTTTCTTAAAGGAGGTAAGACGAACGAACGAATAAGGCAGCGAGGGGGCGGGGAGGAGAGAGGGTTGGGCACCGTTGAAACCGAGGGGAAGAAGGTAGTTGGTTTCTATTCTTGGGCTCTACAGATCAGGGTTGGTTTTGTTTCCGGCTGTTTATTCTTGGCCAGGGTTTGATGATTGAACGGGAAGACAATAGATTGAGTGTGTAAGTGATGCTGTCGTGAGAACTGATGGAACACACGACAGCTTCCGGTTCCCTGGGCCCTAGCTAGTCAATCAAGCTTTTCCGGTTGGATCATCTTAGTTTGACAAGTGATGATACTTGTGTGGGTTTTAGTAGATCTTGTTAAATGGGGAGATCGGGTTGCTACCGTTTGTGGATCTTGATCGACGGTCGGTTTGCGTTGGAGAAGTGATATTCTGATCCGTTGTCGGTTAGGTAACGGTGTCGACGGTGATAGTGGCACAAGTACAGGCGTCACGGCAACGATAACAGCACAGGCAGCAAGAGAAACAATACAGAGATCCGATAATCTCAATTTCCTAATGTTTTTTTTATCGTCCGTATGTACACAGACCTTCTCCTCCAGGGTAGGTCACAGAACGACGGCGGTACCAAGGTCCAGTCTTCCAGCCAGAGTCAGTCAATCAACATCGACGACTTTCCTGGCGGATGCCCTACCCCTTCACCGTCTGGGAGAACCAAGAGCCGATGTTAATCAAGCCCTCCAACTCCCCTTTGCCTCCCCGTCGAAAGATAACATAACTCAACAAAATGTACTAGAGAAAATCCCATCCCATCCATCATAACAAAACAAACCATGATATCTCCTCCACAATCTCCCCGTTTCTTTCCCAATTTTTCTTTTTCAAAACACAAACAATCTCATATGTCGGTATCAATAAGGTAATCCAAAAACGTTCCCCCATCCATCATTCAGACATCCGCCGTTATCCTCTCTCTCTCTCTCGTGGTAAATGCAGGTTTTCTTCCCTTTCCCCATGTGTTATCAACTCAGTCGAAGAACGGAGAGGGGGTGTCGGTTCAAGCGATATTAAGCCAGCAAAAGCGCGGTACACAAAAATAGCCTCCGAACAGCAGGAAAAAAAGAACGCCCCAAAAAAGTTGTGGAGGTGAGCGAAAGGTGACAAAAAAAGTTCAGCATGAGATATCCCGACCATAATCCGTACTGTTTGAACCGGTTCGCCATAAAATCAAAGGCAAAAAAAAAAAAAGAAACATAAAAAATATCCATGTGTAAAGCTCCTCCTCCTTCGTTGTTGTTTGTCCAAAATGATGTTCAACTCTCAAGAGACACAAACAACGTCTATGGCTGTCGTGAGTATCGGAGGAACACTGAAGTTGTCCAAAACGTGAGTAAATCAAAAATGATGCCATCGAAAAAAACCACAACCGAGGCTATGCAGAAATCGTAAACCGTGGGAAGAAAATCATAACCATGGGAAAAGAAATCCGGGGACATGATGCTCTCGTGGTCTCGTTGGCGTCTTGAAGGTGGAGCGGGTGTGTTGGGTGATAAAACGTCTCGAGCGCGGGCACAAAGGAGATGATGATGCAAAAGAGCGAGCCCAGGTCGCTACCGCCGTGACAGGAACTCCCCAGGAGTGTAATGCTAGCGATCTAGTTCTGATGATCGCTTACATTGGCCCATACTGCGGTGGGAAGTAAGCAGAAGCGGGCGGGGGTGGGGGTCCGGGTGGAGGGCCTCTGTAAGACTGCCTTCTTCCTCCTCCTGGTGGCGCAGGCGTTCTTCTCTCGCGCAAGGGCTCAAGTGGTGGCGGGGTCCGGCCTCGAGGAAGTGGCAGAGGCTCTCTCTCATGGAGATGAGGAGGGGGGGCTGCGAGGCTAGGGCCGCTCACAGCAGTCCCTGGTCCAGTGTTTCGTCGAGCTGCTTTGCGAGACCCTTGGAGGGCGCTGAGGGGCGGGTCCTTGACAGCAGGCTCGTTATCGTCGGGAAGGGTCAGTTCAACCAAGCTGTAGAAGTACTCGAGTACCTCGGGATAGCGTTGAACCGATGCTTGCCAGTCCTCATCGATACCCCTCTTGAGCGCCTGTTGCGCGGCCGCGATCTCATTGGGATGCGGTGGAGCGTGGTAGTAGTGGTAGGCATGAGCAGTGATGCGTTCCAAGTGTTGGGCATGTGTCGCCTTGCGTCGCTCTGTCAACAGTCGGAAGTACTCGAGGATATAGTCCTGTGCGTGTGCGCGAACCCATGATCTACCATGAGTGTTAGTATGTCTATGAAGACCTTTGATAGTGACAAGATAGGGGATACTGACCTGATGTCATTGTAGATAGACTGCATCATACGGGCCTCGGCTTGCCGGACCGCCACCTCCAGACCCTTGGCTTCACACTCGCAGGCGTGAGAAGCCGGGGCGTGGCAAATGGCACAATCGGGATCCATCCTGATCACCCCTTTGCGGGAGGATTTGGTGTTGGGGGAGGTGTTGTTGTTGTTGTTGTAATTGTAGTCTCTGGAATACATGTTTAGTGCTTGACCGTTGGAAATGTCTCGGTGTGGTGGTGGTTGGTGGTTCATGGGGAAGGTGCCCGTCTGAGGCTTTCAAGTCAAGGTGATGATACACAAAAGTACACAGTCTCATGATCTATGGTCATGAAACAGCTGTGCTCTGGGGTCCTGCCCAGAATAACAAGAGATGATATGGAGAAGATGGGAGAGAAGATCAGCCGGGCGGGGAGATGTTTCCAGTCCAGAAGATAAGGAACACGCAGCACCTGACGGGCAGCGATGAGGCTCAGGTTGGGAGAGGGGGACCGGGGGACAAAGAGGGCGTGAATGGACGAGAGACTGGGTGAACAACAACTGACCTGGAGAGAGGAGGACGCTCACACACACTCGGGGCGGGCGGCGATGGGAATAGACTGACTGCAAGCAGCAAGCAACAAGCAGTCCACGAATGCTCAAGCTGCAGCAAGCAGATAGATGGTGCGTCGTGAGCGTCTGGGTATCTGCGTGTGAGCTGAGCTGGACTGGACGGCGTGTACGGACTGGACTGTACGGAGGAGAACTCACATTCTGGGGGACCTTTCCTGGGTGCTCAGTGACGGACAGAACCACGTCGTTCGTGTTTGGAGGAAGGGGAGGCAGAGAGGAGAGGCTCTCTTTGGTGGATTGTGGCCGAGGTTGCAGCAGGAGGAGAAGATGGAGTTGGGCGAGGGCTGGATCGCTGGCTCGCTCACACACAAACCAAGGCGGGCTTAACCACGTTTAGTCTGGAATCTGTGTCGTGGCTCGAATGCGGGCGTATGGCAGCAAGTCGTCTGCAGCTCTTGCAGATGCCCAATGCCTGTTCAGCCCAATCCCGACACGCGATGATCGCAAAGAAGCGGGACCAGCACAGAGTAGCGTGGCTGACTTGTTCCCGTTTGTTAATCACGATACCGAGACGGAGTATAGTAAGAGAAGCAGAGTGGCTCGAGTGGTAGCAGCAGAAAACGCTGCTGGGGGCAAAAGAGGGGGTGACAAGATGTACAACGGCGAGAGAGCGGACGAGGGGACGAGGGGATGAGGAGAGGGGTGAAGCGGAGGTGGTGGAGCCGGGACGAGGGAATATGGAGAGATCGCTTCCCGAATGACCACTGGGTGATCCGGCGGTATTTGTTATGTATTGTTGAGGTGGCCAGTAGAGACTTGAAGAAAGATTCAAGTCCAGGAAGAACTCGTGTGTCTTGTGGGACAATCTGGGGAGATGCCACAAAACAGAAAAATAAAATCCAATATTAATAAGAAAAAAAGCAAACGGGCGGCGAAGACGGTGCTCGGTGGTGGTGTCTCCTGTCTCGCCCGGCTGCATGGGGGGTCAATGGCGGCTCAACGACGGGATTGGCGGGCAAAAGACGGGGTACGAGAGGCTGGAAAACGCTTCAATGCCTTGGGACTGGGAATGGCTCAACTGAGCAGAACGAACGAACGACACTTCTGGGGCACTATACTACCCACGTCTCGGATGCTGACCGCATGTTTGATGCTGCCAACGGGGAGGGCCAGCCGTCGACGCAGATGCAGCAATGCAGGCTCGGGTCCAGCAAATGAAAGCCCAGCCCAGCGTGACGCCAAAGATGAGCACCCGCATGACAGACTGGAACACGACGCGGGGAGGGGACAAGGGCCTTGAGCGCGTCTCTCTTTGACGAGAGAGTATAAGTAGACGTCATGGGGAAGGCAATTGACCAAAGAAGTGAGGCATTGGATATATCTCATATCTTTACATTCAACATCGACGTTGGACGTTTGACCGTTGGAGTCGAAAAGGACGCAGAAAGCCGCTCCCACGCTCGGCTTCAAAAGCCCCAGGTGGTACGTGCTGTGGCGGGTGACAACAGCCACTGCCGGACAGGGGTTGCTTGTCTAGCACACCATGGGGTAACTCCATCGCTATCTTATCGGTCCCACCCCCAAGGACCCCTGTTCAAAATTATCTGAACAGGGGACAAACAGCAGCAACATCTTCAACCATTTTTGCCTCTCATTTCTCTCACAATGGCCTGTCGGGGCTCTCGAGGCCCGCGGGTGTTTCTTCCCTTTCTTTACCCATCGATATTTGGGCCTAATGGAAGCCACATCTCGCGCTTCAACCTGGCCGTCCATGGCAGGCGACACGCAAGCACTGACCCCTCAGCACCAGCACAGGACGACATTGAATATGCGACGACTCGTCTGAACCCCTCTCCCGACGACTACTCGATGCCCAACTTTGCCGACAAGGCCAAACTGACTCTTCATGCTGGACCCGGCGGACATGGCTGTATTTCATTCTTGCGCGAGGCATATATGGCGGACGGGCCTCCCAATGGTGGTGATGGAGGACACGGCGGGAGTATCTACATCCAAGCAGTGCACAGCGAAACATCGCTACACAAGTTGGCGCGGAGAAAATTTGCGCGCGCTGGGAGGGGCAAGAGTGGTCAGGGAAGCGCAAAAGGCGGTCAGCGTGGAGAGGACGTGATTCTCAGCGTTCCAGTCGGCACCGTCGTTCGAGAGATCTCCCGTGACGACCCAGAAGCTGTGGAGGAATATTTGACCAAGAAGCGCCGGAAAAGAAGGCGGGAGCCTGTTGCAGTGGAGATGGATGAGGATGGAGAGCCGATTGAAGACCCGGATAGGAAGAAATGGATTCTGTATCCCGGCATGTCATCTTCGGAACGCAAACGGGTTGAGCTACCTGATCTGCCAATTCGCGATCGGCTTCTGAAACAACCAAAGGCACCTGTCTATCTGGACCTCTCTCGACCGACACCTCGTCCCATTCTCTTGGCAGCAGGAGGCCTTGGTGGACTTGGGAACCCACATTTCGTGTCCAAGAACCTGCGCAAGCCCATGTTTGCGACGCGGGGTGAGAATGCCATGACGATGGAAATCGAGATGGAACTCAAGTTATTGGCAGATGTCGGCTTGGTAGGATTGCCAAACGCCGGAAAGAGCACTCTCTTGCGCGCCGTCACCAACAGTCGCGCTCGCGTGGGGAACTGGGCTTTCACGACGCTTCAGCCAAACATCGGCACAGTTGTCCTCGATAACAACAAGGGTCGACCGGTGGTGAAAAGTTTCAAAGTAACTGCAGAAGACGTATCGGACGACCCTTGGGCCGAACCTGCCGAACCGGAACTTCAACAGCGAACCAAGTTCACCATCGCCGATATTCCCGGGTTAATTGAGGGAGCTCACTTGGACAGGGGACTTGGAATTGCTTTCCTGCGTCATGTTGAGCGGGCTGGCGTGCTTGCGTTTGTCATCGATCTTGGAAATGGCAACGCAGTCGAAGCACTCAAGGCCTTGTGGCTCGAGGTTGGCTTATATGCACAGATGAGGGAGGAAGAGGAACAGCAACGGGAGCGCGAGGCCGCCATTGACTGGAGCGCGTCGGCCGGAGAGACTATGCAAAGCGACTTCTGGACAAGTTCTGGTGTCGCCAAGACAACCACTGCCGGCGCTGGTCTTCACATCGCAGGCAAGCCATGGTTTGTGGTGGCCACCAAAGGCGACCTGCCAGGTGCGCAGGAAAACTTTGCCGAACTGAGAGACTATCTTGCCGCTGTCACTCGCGGCGATGAGCCTCACCCCAGTGGTGTTGAGGGAGCGTGGATCAAGGACTGCGCTGCCATTCCCGTCAGCGCCATCAACGGCCACGGTGTAGACAGGGTTATCCATTGGACAGTTGGTTTGCTCGATGGGTGAACTTAGCCAGGTATTCGAGACGCATAGCTTATGAACATCTATGGTTACCCATGTCGGATCATGCTGCACCACGATTACCAATCGGCTGGGGTTATGGCAGCACAGCAGAGACCAGCCCTCACACATGGCCATACAAGCAGGGACCTGGTTGTTCTGGGTAGGTGAACAAGTATGACGGGGAGGAGAGGAGACGTGATCGATCTCCGTGTTCGGCCGAGGCTCTGTCTCGAAGTCAATATCGAGCTTGTATTTCTTGGTAAATTCCGAGATAGCTGTGGCTGAGCTAGCTTTGTTCTGTCCCAAACTAGCTATGGACTGGAACGCCATGTATAATAGTGTAAAATCAAATATACAGAGAATATAAGAAAATGAGAATGTCAAAGCAAATTGCATCTTGAAGTCGTTACTCTGGCCCCCTGAATGGGGAATCCTCGGATCGATCTTCGATATCTTGGCACCGAGCCTTGGCTGGCGACTCCACCAAAAAGATTAGATTGTCCCCGCCCCCACATTGAAGCTTTCAGACAGTCGCGCGGCCGCATATTTTTTTTTCTTCGTGCACTGGAAACAGTTGAATTGATGCGATTGGAGCGCATTGCAACTATCCAGACAACCAAACGCTCCCCCAATTGCGACAGATACTGACTATGGGTCGCGGAAACAGGGTATGTGCTCCCTTCTTCCAGACGTCGGCCCTCCTTTTCACCACCTCTCCATCATCTTTCCTGTCCAAGTATGCTAATATTTACAAGGGCAAACGAGGCGGCGGCCGTGGTGGTCGCGGAGGTCGCGGTGGTAGCCGTGGAGGAGGCCGCGATGGTCACCGTCCCTACCAGACATACCCCGAGGTCGTTAAGGAGAACAAGAAGCTCGAGACCTACTACAACACCCTCTTGAAGGACCTGCCCGAGGACGAGCAGACTGCCTTCTGGGCCGCTTACCGGAGGGAGCTTCCAAACAGTTTCCGCTTCGCTGGCTCCAAAGGGTACATACACAGCCGACGTTCTTTTGAAGCTCAACTGTTGCTTTGACACTAACATGAAAACAATAGACACGCCCTTGCCGTCAAGCGCCTCCTTCAGACGAGATACATCCCCGAGATCACAAGCATCACCCACGATGGTGTCATTGTCGAAGCCCCCAAGGTTGTGCCTTGGTACCCCGACGACCTTGCCTGGATGATGACCACCCCCAAGAACGTCGTTCGCAAATTCCCTCCCTTCGCCAAGTTCCAGCGCTTCTTGGTGTCCGAGACCAGTGTCGGCAACATTAGCAGACAGGAGGTTGTCTCCATGATCCCCCCTCTGCTCATGGACCTCAAGCCCGGCATGACTGTGCTCGATCTTTGCGCTGCTCCCGGTAGCAAGGCTGCTCAGCTTCTCGAGATGATTCACCGCGGCGAGGAGTCCCGTATCCGCCAGGTCATCAGCGGCTTTTCTGGCGACGCCAACGGTGCCGTCAAGTCCGAGGACAAGCAGGAGGACGAGGCCGCCAGACTCGAGGCCGACCCCAGCGACGACGGCAGAGCCACCGGCATGCTCATCGCGAACGATGCCGATTACAAGCGCAGCCACATGCTTATCCACCAGCTTAAACGTCTCTCATCGCCCAACATGATCGTCACCAACCACGACGCCACCATGTATCCTGCCCTCAGAATTCCCAACCCCGAGAACCCAACAAAGCCCAACTACCTCAAGTTTGACCGCATTCTTGCCGATGTCCCCTGCTCCGGTGACGGCACCCTTCGCAAGAATGTCAACCTCTGGAAGGACTGGACCCCCGGCAGCGCTTTGGGTCTCCATCTTACCCAGGTCCGCATTCTCGTCCGTGCCCTGCAGATGCTCAAGCCAGGCGGTCGGGTCGTCTACTCGACCTGCTCCATGAACCCCGTCGAGAACGAGTCCGTTGTTGCCGCTGCCATTGAGAGATGCGGCGGTCCCGACAAGATTGAAATCCTCGACTGCAGCAATGAGCTTCCTGGTCTCCAGCGCAAGCCCGGCATGAGGAAGTGGCAGATCATGGACAAGTCTGAGCGCTTGTGGAACACATGGCAGGAGGTCGAGGAGTACACCAAGTCCACCGAGGATGGTGTCACTCCCAGCCGTCTCGTCGAGTCCATGTTCCCCCCTGCCGAGGGCAGCGACTGTGCTGACCTCCCTCTCGACCGCTGCATGCGTGTCTATCCCCACCAGCAGGATACCGGTGGCTTCTTCATCACTGCTCTCCACAAGAAGGCCGAGTTCAAGGCCAAGCCCGAGGAGAATAGAAAGCAGCCTCCTGTGGCCAGGACTAATGGCCAGTCCAGCGGCGCTACCAAGAGGCCCCTGGAGGAGGAGGACGAGGAGAAGGATGACTCCAGCGTCAAGAAGCTCAAGGTTGAAGAGGAGACCGTCCAGGATGAGATTACCCCAGTCGAGGAGCTCCCTGCTCCTGTTCCGGAACCCGTCCCTGAAGTCGCTGCTGAGGTCGTCGCGGCTGAAGAGCTCAAGGAGGCCGAGCCTGAGGTCACCAAGACTGAAGAAGCCCCCGAGGACGAAGTCAAGGCTGAGGAGCAGCCTTCCGAGTCGACCACCCCCGCTGTTGCCACTCCTGCCACTACTACTGAGGCGGTGCCCGATCGCAAGGTCAGACAAGGCATGGGCCCATACGAGGAGCCGTTCAAGTACCTCTCTCCCGATCACGAGGTCATCAAGGACGTCACCAAGTTTTACAAGATCTCAGATCGCTTCCCCACCGATCGGTACATGGTGCGCAACGCCATGGGCGAGCCCGCCAAGGCCATCTACTACACCTCTGCCCTTGTCCGTGACATTTTGTCTCTGAACGAAGGCCGCCAGGTCAAGTTTGTGCACGGTGGTGTGAAGATGTTTGTCAAGCAGGATGCCCCCTCGGCCGAGGTCTGCAGATGGCGTATTCAGTCGGAGGGCATGCCCATTCTTCACGGCTACATCGGCGAGGAGAGAGTGGTCGTTCTCAAGAAGAAGGAGACGCTCAAGAAGCTCTTGATCGAGATGTTCCCCAAGATTGCCGGGGACGAGTACAAGAAGCTGGAGGAGATTGGCGAGAGGGTCCGGGATATCGGTCTGGGCTGCTGCGTTCTCAGAGTCGAGCCGGAAGACCCAACAGACGAGGACTTTAACGAGCACATGGCTCTGCCGTTGTGGAAGAGCTTCCACAGCCTGAACCTGATGCTGCCCAAGGAGGACAGGAGCGCGATGCTGTTGCGGATTTATAATGATACCACGCCTATTATTAATATGGGGATTAAGAAGCAGCTGCCGGAGGAGGACCTCAAGGAGAAGAAGGGGGGGGTGGTGGATGAGGAGATGAAGGATGCTGAGGAGGTCAAGCAGGAGGGGGTGGAGGGGGAGGAGGTGAAGGCGGAGGACGTTGAGGTCCCCGATGCGCCTGCTGCTGAGGAGGTGAAGGAGGAGGTCAAGGAGGCTACTGCTTAGAAGGTGGAGGTTTCCGAGGATAACAAGCAGGAGGTGACCTCTGTGGACATCAAGAAGGAGGACGGTGGAAGCATCGTCGTTGCGACTGCGGTGGGTGTCGAGGAGCGGATTGAGGAGTGCATTGACGTCAAGATCAAGGAAGAGGAGGACATCTGATTGAGAGGATTTGGTCATGCATCTGGCTATAGATGGCTAGCCGGCTTTGGTGTTTGCTTTTTTTTTTCTTTTTTTCGGTGTTTTTAGTTGCTGTTCTATGCGACTATTTTTTTCCTTTTTAGTCTGGGTCAAAATAGGGAACCAAAATAAATAGAGAACTCTGATTAATTATTTGTTCTATTGGTGTTCTGGTGTTCTCTTTACGAGCAGAGGAGATAAGCAACCGGTCTCAGAGAGTAATTGTCCCGATTGCTTCGACAACGAGAGTGGCAAAGTTGTGATGTCGTGCGAGTCGCAGTGACCCGGGAGACGAGCATGTCTCAACTACACGGCTTCAACTCTATCGACACATTGTACCAAATGATGATGCAAGGGCCTGGACTCCTGTAAATCAACACGAAATGCAGTGACATCAACCAGACAAACACCACCATAAGCATCAAGCGCGTCTCCGAAAATAAGATCTCTTCTCCATATCACACCTTGAAGGCAGCGATTACAGTGAAAAAATTGGTAGCGTCTCTTTGAGTAGCGTGTCATCCTTAGTGCAGGGGCCATGCTAATCTTCTCTGTATCGTTTCAAATTGACCAAATGCCCCGAAGGGCGAGGAAAGAAAAGAGAGAAAAAAAATATACAAAAACTGGCTGGGTGGCCGAGATTAAATACCCATTTCAAAGTGGCCTGTGCACCCTTGCAAATCGGGGAGCGAGTGTGAAAGGTCTGTGCACGGGGTGGGGCCGCTGTTGGTGGTGGTGGGGGCGAATTTCGGGGTGGTTTCAGAGGTGGATGTATAATTTTGGATGTTATCCAGCATTGATTTATGAATTTCCTCTGAGGAGATATAAAAAGGTGTCCCTTTGCCCGAGAGCGAATCATCTCAAAACGTGCGGTGCAAACAGAGACAGCACTCGAGAGCTACTTGTTTGCCCAGCTATTGGCACATTGCCCCAACTTCAAAGGGACGGATGGGATGACCCCTGATTATCCTGACAGTTTGAGGGACGTCCCGCTGTTAGGGGGAGAGCTTAATTCAACGTGGCAGATGTTAACAGAGCAGCCGAGGACAGAGACACGACACAACTTGCCGGTCTCGAACCGCCGAATGTCTTCGATTACGGCGAGGCAATGAACCACAGACGCGGGGCACAACAGCACAGCCATCACGGCACAAGAAAGCGGGCACAGGGCACGACATGAGCGGTGATATCAGGGTTGTGCAAAACAAACAAGTCTTGGGAGTCTCCAGCTGGCCTAGAACGGGCGGCCAACCACCGACTGATATGCCCGTTTTTGAACTCCTGAAACATGAAGCTAAGACATAGATTGGGTATTGATGAAGCTCTGTGCCGCCCATTCGCTGAAGGCTTCTTTTTTGGGCCTCTCTTTTTTTTTTTTTTGGGTTCTCCAGAAAAAAAGTACCAACACCAAGCTGGCTTGGCCATTGTTCCCCAAGACTCGGAGTTCTTGGTTGCATTCGTACCTGCCTGCCGTGTAATTAAGACTCCGTAACTACCACCACCAAGCACGAGAGACGAACGGGACGAGAGAGAGACCCGACGCAACTAAGTAGCGGGCCGTCCCCCGTTGTGGTTTCAACTTTTTGTTGCCCCTGAATTATTCTTCAGTCACTTTTATTTCACAATCAGATTGTCCGCTTCTTTTTGGATTTCTACATTTCTTCTATTTTATCTGTGCTACTACTGTCACTTGGATACAACTGGTCAGATCTAGGCTAGACCCAGATCGCAACGTTGATCGCCCCGAAATCTGGGGTAAAGCTTCTCTTCTAGAAGGTCACCAAGACCCAGCCCAGCAGGTCAACCATGTCGGCACCTTCCCCACCACCACGGGGACCACCAGGAAGCGACACCCCCGAGCTGGCACCTACACAAGTCACCTCGCTGCTGCTAGAGCAGTATCTCTCCGCCTCCTCCCAACCAGGGCAGCAACACCCACCTCATCAACCACCTCCCCCTCAAGAGATCACCAACCCCAACAACGACATGAAACCCTCCCCCTCCCACACCATCACCCAGGAAAAACCAACCCTTTCCACCTCGACCTCAAGACAACCCTCCTCCCGCACCGCAACCGCCCAAGGCGAGGTCCTCCCAGACAATGGCGCCCTCCCCCTCCACAACAACAACAACAACCTAGGTCTCAAACTCTCCCGCACCCGCACCGCCGCCCAGGCAGTAAAACGCTCCCTCCAAATCCGTCACACGGGCGAGTCCCACCGCTCAGGAATTCACCCTTTTCACTTCCTCCGCATAGTCTACCAGTCCTCCTCCCGGGCCTCCCGCATGGTCAACTTCCTCTGGCCCGTCGTCCCCGTCGCCATCGCAGTCCGCTATGCCCTCACCCCCTCCCCAACAGCAAACCTAGTCATCTTCATCCTCGCTTACCTAGCCATGGTCCCCTGCGCGAACCTCATCGGTTTTGCCGGGCAGGAACTGTCACGGAAGTTCGCCCATGTCTGGGGGGTGTTAGTGGAGACGACGCTCGGGAGCTTGGTGGAGATTATCATGTTTATCGTCTTGATCACGAGGGAGCAGAAGGAGGGGGGGATCGATTACGTGCAGGTGATCAAGGCAGCGATATTGGGGAGTGTGCTGGCGACGATGTTGTTGTGTTTGGGGTTGTGTTTTTTTGCCGGGGGGTTGAGGAGGGAGGAGACTGGGTTTAGTGAGGCTGTTAGTGAGGCTGGGTCTGGGTTATTGCTTACTGCGTATGTCCCCCCCCCCCCTTTTTTTATTTTTATTTTTTTTCTTCACTGTTGATGGTAGACAGGGGCTAACATTTAACAATAGTGGTTTCGGCCTGGCCATCCCGACGGTTTTTCATCACAGTCTGATCAACAGCGGCAAACTCCCCGAAGAGGAGCTCATCAGCAAAACGATCGAAATCTCGCGATCGATGGCTGTCTTGCTGTTGATTGCCTACTTGATCTATGTCTTTTTCCAAGCCCACACCCACCACGGCATCTACGACGCCATCTTTGTTGCCGACGAGGCGAGGGATGAGGATAGACACAACCCAAAGTACTCGCACCACTCCAACCGGCTCACCTTGACAGAGTGCTGTCTCGCCCTGGCGGTATCCATCGCGCTCGTGACCGTTATTGCCATCACGCTGGTGGATCAGATACACAATCTTGTCACTGAGCGGCACGTTTCAGACGCGTTTGTCGGGTTGATTCTTGTGCCGCTTGTGGAAAAGGCGGCGGAGCACCTGACGGCGGTGGACGAGGCGTACGACAACCAGATGAACTTTGCACTTTCGCATGTGCTGGGAGCGACGCTGCAGACGGTCATGTTTAATGCGCCGCTGGTGGTGATTGTGGGGTGGGGGTTGGGGAAGCCGATGGGGTTGAACTTTGAGGTTTTTGACCTTGCGGTGCTGTTGTTGGCGATCTTGACGGTGGGGAACTTTTTGAGGGATCAAAAGAGTAATTATTTGGAGGGGGCGTTGTGTGTGATTGTTTATGTTGGGATTGCTGTTGCGGCGTTGTATTATCCTAATCCTCATCATGGGTCGAGTGAGGGGGTTGGGCATCATTAGGGGGGAGATGGGTGGTTGTTCTTCATGTAGGGGGGGGGGGGGGAATTGTTATAGATACCTGGCGAGGGGGTTTGAATGGGGTGTTGTTTCGGTTGCAAGACGGTATGGTTCGAGAATTCCAAAGAATGACCTGCGTTTTCAGGTCGGGCCATTGCTTGCTGGGTATGTATATCATGGAAGATGGTGGTACTCGTAGCTATTCGCTACGAGACAGACCAGTGTGATTGTCCCATGATTATCATTGCCATCCATTCGCTACCACACATGTTCCGTGTACTATGCCATATATATACCTAGGTACCTTTGAAACCATACCTTTTCCCTCCAAAACATCCAAAGAAACTACCACTCAAATACTCTGGTGACCTACACCCCCATACCAATCGTATACACCCCATCACCCTCCCCTCCTCTACCCCCTGGCAACAACAACTCGCTCAAAACCTGCACCCTCGTCCTAGCCGTTTCACTAGCCTGCTCCCCCTGGCTCATAATCTCCATAATCTCAATCATCCTCGCTGTCATAATCACTGTTAGCATCCTGTTCTCCCCACGCCCAGAGAATAAAAAACTCACCAATATCGCTCCTAGCCCTTATAAACAAAGGATCCTCCCCCATACTCCCCCCCTCCTCCCCCCTCGCCACCTCCCTCAGCACATTCCCAATACAAAAGCGCCTCCAAAAACGCCCTGTGGTTGAAAACCCACCACACCCTCGCCTCAGCCTCAAAAAGCTGAAACAAGATAAAGAAAGCCGTAATCGCATCGTGAGCCGCCTCCAACGTCCCCCTAACGTTAACAGGCACATCTGCGCTCTCCGACGCATGCACCAGCATCAAGTTGTGAAAGTAATTGCTGCACAGGAACAGCGTCTGCCTCACCACCCGCTTGTTGCTCTGCGCCATCTCCGTCAGGACCTGCGGGTCCCAATAGCGAAACACAGTTGGAAAGGTGCGGTAGACGGTCCTAAAGTCTTGCACCAGCTTAGACTTTTGGCGGACGGTGGTGCAGATGGGCACGTCCAGGGACCGAGGCGAGCAGATGGTTTCCTGGACCAGGTTGGCGAGCGTCCAGCTGGACTTGATATAGTCCGTGTCGGTCGGGTCGTCGGTGGCGATGGAGGCGTCGTCCTGCTTGAGGTCGTCGACGCTGACGTCGGTGTGGGTCGCGCTTGGCGGGAGCGATAGCAAGACCGTCAGGAAGGTGTCTTGAAGAAGCACAGCCTGCCAGACCTTGCGGCGTTGTTGTTTTTCAAAAGGGGAGGCGTCAGGGACGACTGGATGAGTGGGTTAGAAACCAAATGTTTATACACGGTGGAGGGAGCAGAAGAAATACCAATATTTGGATCTCGATGCAATCCCATCGCATACGCCTGCCTCATAAGAATCCCCCCGAACGCCCACCCATCAGAAGCGTGGTTGTCGTTGATGAGAAAGTATGTGATCAACACCATGGCCTGGATCGATCGAATGCTCGCTATGCTAAGATACGAGCTCACACGCAAGGCTTGATTACTCGCCGAAGCGTAGAACTCGGCCGTCTGCTTCCTTTCCCTGGGCGAAGTCGACGTCACAAACTGAGTGCCCAAGGCGAGCATGACGAAAATGAGCGCCACAAACGCTCCGTCGGCTTGGTCCTTCTCAGGCCGGCTCAACGACCAGAAATGCTTAGTACTCCTGTCAGTAAACAACTAGGCAAAAAGGACACACTCGAGTCCATACCTCATAGTCGGCATAAAACGTCTGCCTATGCAGCATCGGATACACCGGGTCGACACACTCAAAATACCGCGTCAGGAGAATATCCGACTGCACTTTCTCCGGCAAGACAGAGATAACCTCGGGCAAGCCCCCGTCGCAAGTCCAGTAATTAGCAAACGGGTGCTCAGATCCAATGCCAAATACATTGGACGAGCCAGGAGCCGAGTAGGGAACGTTCGAAAGCAGGCCTGTCGAAGTTGAAACCGATCCCAGCGCCTTTAGTCGATTCACGTTGAAGCCCCTATCAGCAGCGTTTGGGATCGTGGGTTTAAGCGCGTCTCCCTTCTTTTTGGGACCCTTCGTCATCCGGCGCTCGTTGGCCGCACTTCTGGTCGTTTCCCTATGCAGAGCATGAGCACGACAGGCAAGGTACGTATCAACAAGCAAAGGGGACGACTCACTCGAGTACATTGGCAACGTGGGCATATTCACACTTGGTCTGACGTTTGATACCTATGCGGAGCGTTAGCCTGGGGGTCGAGATCAGACGGCAAGTCTGTGGGCAAGTCGACAGGCAGACTTACATGCAAGGCAATGCGGTCTCCCCCTGTCACACTGGCAGTAATTGTTAGCCCGGGAACAACAGCAAGAATGGGCTCGGTTCATATCCGAGAATCTGGTGATATGTGCCAAGACCTGTCTGTGTAAGACCGCCCGCCCCCCCCCCCATGGCGAGGCCGAGATCGACTCTTCTTGATATGCAGCCCAATTAAAATTTCCCTACCTTTGTCTTTCTCCCTACGCATTCGAAACAGGACAACGTGGGCTTGTTTCGTTTCTGCTTCTTCCTCTGGTGTTCAGCAGTAGTAGGAGAGGCGCCGTCACTATCATCGTCCTCGGCAGAGGCACTGCGTGCATGCTTGACGTCCCCGGCTCCGTTGCTGTATCCATCACCGCGAACAGCTATGGAGTCCTCGGCATTGACCAGAGTAGATCTCCTTTTACGGCGATAACTGGTGCCGGCCCCGTTGCTATTACCGTTGCCGTTGTGGACGCCGGTGGACGAGGCGTAGATGGTACCGGACTCTGCCGGGCTTGGCGTTAGAGATAACTCGGAGACACCAGCCTGCCAAACAAGTGACTGCTGCTGTGTCTGTGGTGGCTGCCGTGGCCGCCTCAGTCTCGAGGCAGCATCATGATCCATTGATACAAAATTCAATGCCAAGGCAATTGACAGGCAAGGAGTTGCTTGACTGGTGAGCTCCGCCCAGACCGCGCCGAGAAACCGTCAGTGGCTCCCTTCCCCAGAAACGCCTCTGCGGATGTGGGAAATCCGGAACACGCGGGGAAACCGGTGGGAACTGTGGCACTGTGGGTGAGGAATTCCCGGGGATAGCCTGGGGACCCCGTCTGTGTCTCTGCTCTGCTCTGAAAAAAAAAAACTTGGGTGACCCGTGGACGGGAGTGGGAAAGAGGCGCGTCCGTCGGTCCTGTCCTGTCTGTTTCAGTGACCGCTACCGGGAATAAGAAGCTGCTAGCTGCAGCATGCGGATGCGCGCGGGCACTAACAGCTTAGAAAGGTGCCAAAACAGCCGTTGATGGGGAGGCACAAGCGTCTGGGCAGCGCTGGAAATAATGAGGAAACGAGAAGGCAGGGGATTTGGGGATGGGAAGAATTGGAGGGCGAATTGATGGGGAAATAAGGACGGCTCCGATGTCCACTTCCCCGCCAAACCTGCCAAAATCGAGGGGGCCGGCCGCGACGGGAGTGCATGAAGGAAGCCGTTAGTGACTTGAAGTTGGTTGCTGTCAGCGGGGCCTTGGACCGAGGGCATTTCCTTTCATCGGAGGGGAGTTAGTAAGCAGCTTTTTCCTCTTCAGCATTCCGCTACCTATTTATTTATTCCGCTATACCGTACTCCGTAGAGTCTCTAGATCTTATTGTTCTTGGTGACGACGAGATGGTACCGTATCTGTGTATATCGCCTTGGTCTTTGATGGTCATGATGTCAAACGCCACCGATGCAACGGCAACCCCAAAGAGGCGGTCCTCTAAACCAAGCGACGGCAGTTGCCCAGGTGTTGACCAAACTACTGCGAGATATAAAACTTGGTTGAGCTATATACCTCAAGCCATTGCCCTCACCCGACACTCTTGGTCATCTGTGCGGATGTTGTAAGACCTCCAACAATTCATGGGATTTTGTCGTCGGGCCAGTCGACCGAGAGCAGGAGCTCGGCATCACGGCACCGAGGTTGGGGGTTCAACCTGTATGATCACGTAATCAGAACCATGGGGGGGATAATCCATCATCCTGGATACGAGCAACTGACGGGCTATGAATCAACTGCAATTTTATAGTGTGACGTTATATGTCGCTGTGCCGCTATGATCCTAGAAGAAATGATTCTGAATATCAACATCTGAAGTTGTTACAGGAGGTAGTAACAACAACGACCGCTCAGGCCGGGCCAAAGATGAACTCTTCATAGTTCTTCCTCAGCTTCTCGACGCCCTCCTGCAGCGTCCACTTTTTGATCTCACAGATCTTTCTGCAAATGTCCTCGAGGTAGTAGTCCATATCCTCACCAGCCGTGTGCAAGTCGCTTTCGATGAGAATCCTGTCATCGGGGCAGGTCTTGACCAGCTCAGGAAACTTGTCCTTGCCGCCTGCCGTGGCAAGATTGATGACAGTCGAAAACGAAAAGTACATTGTCGCGGGCACCGCCGGATGAAGATATTGTTTCATCACTTGGACCGACCCGCTGAAAGAATGCAAACATATCCGCGGAGGGAACGGCTTCGGTTTGTACTTTTTCTGCCTCGGCTTGGCGGCTGGCGCTTGACCATTGATCTCTGCCCAAATGTCGTCTTCGTCCTCCTCTTCTTCGCTCGACGATGAAAAGTCCTCGGCGCCCTTGGCCACCATTTTCTGTTTCCGACGAGACACGACCTCTTTCTCATGACCTTTCCAAAGTGCCGAGATGGCGTCGAAGAGAACTCCGTGAGCCTGGACTCCATGAACGCTAGCAGCACGACCCAACTCGCCAGCAAGTCGCAGTTGAGCTGTGAGAATATGGGTCTGGTGTGGCATCTTGACGTGGTATGGGCTCAGGAGGCGGCCTTCTCTCCCGCCCGGAGTAAGCCCCTCGTCCCGTTCCTGTTGCTCATCCTCCTTCCAAGCAGACGGCAAACGGAAGGCTTTATCCAAACCCACCTCACCGATCAGAGCCAGCGGGTTCTCCTCCAACCGCTGCCTCGTTTCGGCCAAGAAGCCGCTCAAAGGTTTTGGGTCCGGGAGAGAAGCGACGAACTCGGCATCTGGGGAGGAAGACAACACGGCCTCGTAGTGCTTGGCTTTTTGCTCGGCCAACGATGAGCTCGACGGGTCATAGGTTCTGTTGCCGCCATTCCCCGCCGTGTCATCGAACAGCTGGTGTGAGAACCATGGGTGCCAGCCAAAGGCCGGCACGATCTTGCGTGGCGCCTCTTGACAGTCTGACGCTAGCGCGGAGCGGTCTCTGATGCCATGCTCGGCGGCAACCGATGCCACGAGGTCTTGATCTTGCGAGCGAGTGGACATGGCTGTCAAGACACGTGCGCGCATGCTGCTGATACTCTCAATGGAGGTCATGGTGTCGGTTGGGTGACAATGGGCATCGCACACCCCCAAGTCCCAGGGAAAGTCGCCGTCGTCGTCTGTGCCACTCCTCCTCTCATGGCTGCGGGATTGGCCTTCGCTTGGACCACACATTGTGTCTGCCGATGTTGGATGACTGATGTCCGGGGTCGTTTCAATCCTCTTGGGTTCAAGCTGTCAGTTGGACTCGGGTCGTGATGATGTCAAGGGTGGAATTGATCTTGACCAGCTTCCCCCACTTATAACCCTCAGGGTCTTGGCATCAGCCGCTAGGGCTGAGCGCTTCATGGACGCGAGTCAAGGCTGCTGCTGTGAGCCGTTTGCCGTCTTTTTTGATTCCATTCCCTTCGTTTATGGAGCTGGAAGGAACTTGTGTCAGTGAGGAGTTTTTTCTTGATTTTGTGGCATCCCCTGGAGTTCTGATGTTGAACTTAAAGGTACTTTGAAACATCAAGTCCCACACCTTACCGACATCTTTGATATACCTTCCTAGACAAGCCCCTCGGCTGTCAAGAGATAGCCAAACCTAATCGTGATGCTAATAATATCAAAACAGGGCCCAACGCTTTAGACTGGAAGATCTCTCCCCAAACTCTTTCTCCCTCGGCACGTTCCGCTGAATGATTTTCTTCAAAGCGTCCGAGTTTTGCAAGTGGAACACATACGATGCCAAGACGGACCCCGCCAAACCCCTGTCTTCCCATGAGCTGCGCCAGGGATTCCTGGGAATGCCCCTCCAAGCTTCCCACGGCTTGGCCTTCACATGCCCGGAGACGGGAGACAGCGTCTGAGCTGCTTCGCAGCGGAGGTCAAGGGGCAACTTGAGCCGTCGGTCGCCGTCCGGTCGTATTATTCTTTGTCTGCCCTTATCTAGCACCTGCATTCGACTTTTTTCCCCCTAACCTTAACAAGTTGCGTGTTTGGAGCGAGATAACATGCCGCTCCCCTATCGCGCCATGCATCGCCCATAATAACCAATTGTCGGCCCTCCTTCTCTCGTCCAGCTCGAGTTCTGGAGTTTCTCTCGTTTCACTCCAAGCCCATAGGAGTCATCAATTGAACAAGATGGCTCTCATCAACCCCGTACATGGCCTTGTGGTCCCCTTCCTATTCATGTTCACCCTCCCACTGGCCATATTCGCAGGCGTGACCTCCGCCCTCGCCTTTTCAGTATTGATGTTCAGGGCGGCCATCGTCTACCTCGATATCGCCCTCGCTTTCGTGCCACAGTACTTCCTGCGCGGCAAGAGCAAGTCCTCCTTATCCTCGGCAGACAGTCAACGCCGCTATTCCCGCGGTGACGGCTGGAGGACGCCGGCATCACCACTTTCCAGCGCCCGTTCCAGCTCTTCCAGCCACAGCCCCCCTTCTCCCTTCCCTCAAACAACCGGTCACCCCAACTCAGGGTACATCTCCCCCCGCCGAAAATCCAGCTACGGTTTCAGGAAACACTCCAGGCGCTCCTCCAGCCAGGTATCTATTTCCTCACCGGGGACGATCACTCCCATCCATGAAAACCAAGTTCTCAACGACATCACCACCATCACCCCAGCCACCTTTGCCGACGCAAGCCTCCCCCCGGCTACCTTTGCCGATGCAGTCCTCACCCCATCTGTCGGCTTGGACCGTGACTATGAAGGCATTGGCGGGTGGAGGCTCGACAACAACGACAGCGACTCGGACTGGACCAGCATCAACTCTCGCCTTGAACTCGCACATGAAGGACGAGCTCCCTTCACCCGCGGCCATTCCCGTTCGCATAGTGCAGGGCCGATGCCTAGCCCTAGCGGGTCCTATCTTACCCCGAGAAGCGGATCGAGGAGGGGGACGATAATGAACGATATCAACCATGACTGGCTCGCTTCAACAGGTGGGTTTGGGGCAAGGACTGCGGGGCCGACGCCGAATGCTTCGACGGTGAGGCTGAACCAGACGTTTCCAATCCCCCCACCGGCGTTCACGACGCTGGAGATGGAGTCGAGGATTAGCCATGACTTGCTGAGTCCGAGGTCGGTGAGAAAGACTCCGGCTGCCTGAGCGAGAAAGGTGTACTGTAGGTATTCTGTGTACAAACTTGAGCGTTTCCGGCGTATTTGGGTATGATCCTGGGCAATCATAGCGAGGAATTAGAACAAGGCAGAGGAATCTGAGGGTAAATAACGATGATGAAAAGCGGCATCTCTGCTCGGATTGATTGAACAGTAATTGTACAATCTTTTCTTCTTCTTTTGAGACGAAATCGTGTACATGCCATGCCCGTGGTATCAAACCCTAAACGCCTTTTCCTTTTCCACGTATTCCAACAACATCCCATCAAAGATTCTGCCAAAAGTAATTCGCATAGAAAAACCTCGAAAACCCCCCATCAATCTTGACAACATGAACATCACCCCTCTTATCATTCCTCAACACGACCCTGTTAAACTCTCCCCCCCCATCCTTCTTCCCACTCCCATCATCACTCTTCTCCAACTCCATCCCCAAACTCCTATACACCTTTAGCCTCAGCAGCACCTCATCCTCCACCCCGCCGTCCCCACCTCTTACTCCTTCAACCCCATCCCCGCCATCAACACCCTGCATCTCCAGCTCTTGGAGCCTGGCGTTCAACTCGTCCAGCTGGCCCTGCAGCCGCTCCGTTTCCATTTCGAGGTCTGAAGCCGACTTTGCGATGCGGAACTTTTGGGTGTCGAGGCGGGAGATCTCGGAGGCGTGGGCGGCGGAGGAGTGGGTGGAGGTTAGCTCGCGGTGCTGGTTGGAGAGGGTGGAGAGCTGGCGGGAGAGTTTTTTGAGGGAGGATTCGGCTTCGCGGATGCGGAGGTCGCGGGCTTGGGCGAGGGTGGAGAGGGATTCGGAGATGCGGGAGATGGCGAGGCGGTCGGGGGCGGTGTTGAAGTTTGTGATTGTGTGGCGGATTAGGAGGGAGGGGTCTTCTTCTAGGAGCATTTTGGGCTGCTTTTTGAAGGGGGCAGTGGAGGGGGGGTGATGTAGGGTTGGATTGAACAGGAGTGGTGGTGTTTGTTGAGTATTATGGCCAGACGAGACTTGAGGGTTTGTGCTGCCTGTATGATGTTTTTTGAGTGTTGTGATTGTAGTTACGATTGTACTTGTGTGCGTGGTTGCAGGCGATGGTCGTGTGTGTGGGTTGGTTGATGTGAAAAAAAAGGGATTGAATTTAATGCGCTGTCGCGTCGCAAAGCTGCCGCTGGAAAGCAATTGTTGTTCTAACGTCTTGGCATCACCACAGTGACAAGGTACTAAAACGTGGGGTTGCTCTTATCAGCTTATCGCGTCTCCGTTGTCCTACTAACGGCAAGCGGCAAGGTGCTTCGTCATCGATCACTTGGGCACCCGTGTGGGCACACACCAAGGAAAGGGTCCGAGCTTCAGCCGCCGCCTGCAGCCAAAGCGCAGAACAGAGCAGAACAAGAACAAGGCTTTTTGAAAGGTAGAAACCGGCCGCATTCAACAACCTTCTTCTCAATCCTGTCCGACCCTGCCAGAAACAGACTGACTCGGAAGCTATTCTTTGGGCAGAGTTTTGCCCACCATGACACAATTACCATGTAGGTTTTCTTATGGGCCGAGAGTGACCTGACGCCGCAGTGGATAGCTGAGGTAGCTAACAGCCATGCTTCCAGATGCTATCGATGCCGAAACGTAAGCTTGTACGAGAACATGAAGTGCTTGAAAACAGATATTGACTATAGGAAAACAGCCCTCTGAGCCCATCAGAGCTCGGAGTGCTCAGGGCACAGTATGAGAAGGAGGGCGAGATGGTGGGAGTGCAAACAAAGTTCAACTATGCCTGGGTGCGCATCTCGGCTCACGAGAAAACTAAATGGTGTTCTAATACAGTAAACAGGGCCTTGTCAAGTCGAACGTACGCTCTGAGCAACACCTCGGCGTGATGCTCCTCTCAGAAATCTTCCGAACGTCCCCAGAACGCCGTCGCGAGTGCCTCTACTATCTCGCTCTCGGAAACTACAAGCTCGGCAACTACGGCGAGGCGCGAAGATACAACGACCTCCTTATCGAAAAGGAACCTGCCAACCTTCAAGCTTCGAATTTGCGCACGTTGATCGACGACAAGGTGGCCAAGGAAGGGTTGATGGGCGTGGCCATCGTGAGCGGGGTGGCAGTTGCCGCGGGTATTATTGGAGGTGTGCTGCTCAGAAACCTGGGGAGGAAGAGATAACCTATGACTATGACTTTGAAACGATAACGACAGCAAGGGCGGAGACACACCTGTATTTGTATTCTTGAGACGACGAGCTTGTGTAATTTGGGATACGGGTTTACCTGGGGTTCTCTGATAGGTACTACCGGGTAATGAGCGTGACAAAGCGATGCCACTGTTCAAATGGGAGCCTTTGATTCTTTCTGCCTGAGGTGTGGCTGGGGTTGAGCCTGGGGTTGGGGGCAGCATATGTGCAAAATAGGGGATATCCTGAGGCTGAAACTGTGTTTGCCGAACACCCGACATTTTCAATGCTTCAAAGAGGACGAGTTGGGCATATTGAAGTGACGATCTGGCTGCAGGAACAACCTAGAGAGAGACATCGGAACACGCTGGGTTTCGGCACTTCCCAGCCAGCCTTACTTACCCCTCAGTTACTTTGCAGCACATCAAGGTAGAATAGTCACTGTACATTGGGTTTGGCAGTACTCAGAGTAGCAATAGAGCGATTCGCTGGGACAGATTATTCCCCTCGTTTTGCGCCAGCCATTGGGCATATCCGACCTGTCGCTGGGATGAAATGCAATGTATGTCACCTTGAAGTAGGTAGCCCCTCTGAACAGCAAGCATCGGGCTCCAGTTATCGATATGAGAAAATACCCTTATAACTTGGAACCTGTGGCTCTTGTCTTTTCATCAATCTTCTCGCCTTTTCATCTTACGTCTCCCCTTGCCACGACCTGACTGTTCATAATCTGTGGCAATCAGGACAAGTTGCTGCTGCCCAAGCTACCTACCTATTTCAAGTCGGTTCGCGCTAAGGATGATATGGGGTCATTTGATACCCGTTGGTACCTGGAAGAGCTTCTCAGTCATCATCATACATTATCGAGCTGATTACGACCTGGAACCTATTTTAGACCCCTGTCTACCCTACTACCCACCTCGACCTTTACACCTACAATCGCTCTACCTCCACTTTTAACATCAACGACATCAGAAGAGCAAGGAGATCGAAACCTAAAAGCTCCAAGAAGGCCCCTATAAACCACACACAAAGCAGTCTTGCAGCAACAAGGGCAACTCGGTGATTCCATCGGCCGACCGAGCGCCCAGGAAGCAAGCTAATCGGGGAGCTGACGGCAGTTGCATCATTGCTTGAGCTTCCATTTCCTTCCGCCGTTGACGCCCCACTTCCCGGGTCCCCCATACCTAACATCAAGGTTCTCGCCTTCGCCGGTTGTCTTTCTGCTTCCGCAGAAGAGCGACCGTTTGCAAGGAACGCGGTCGCCTTTTTATTTCTCTTTTAACAAACTTCCCGAGACAGCACAGCAGCCGACAAGCTGGCTTCCCGACGTCCTCCTCCTCCGCCACCTCGTCGTATAACCGCGGGCGAGATCATCAGAGGGCTCACTGACGTTGTCGCTGCTCTACAACGAACCCAGCACCAGTTGCAGTCGCAGTCACGCCCCCCCCCGCCGTTTCAACGGCCAGCCATGGCGTCATTCGGAATGGGACCGCCCCGACGCCACCTGGATGCCAACGCCGGCAGAGAGGTGGTGTATTGTCATTCCTGCGCGCACGAGTGGTATAGTGACGAGCAGCCGCCGAGACTGGAGCCCGAGTGCCCGAGATGTCATAGTGAGATTGTAGAGATTGTGAGTCGCCCTGATAGTGGTTTTGTTCGATCGATCGAAGCTGACATTTTTGACATAGGTCGAGCCAGGAGAGAGCGACCCTCGTATCGAAGCTGGTGGCCTTGGCCTCGGTGGTGGTGGCTCCGGCTCTTATTTTCGCCGCAATGCTGCTGGCGAGGACTCGGACCCCGAAGAAGACGATATAGAGAATCATCTCCCCGGCGGCCCTGCTAGAAGCCCGTTCGGACGAGGTTTGTTCCCGCCGTCACCTGGTGCGCCAGATGGGGATAACAATCGACCTGGCGATGAGGTGTTTAACCGTTTCTTCGAGCTTATTATGCACGATCTGGGCGGCGGTAGACACGTTCGCGAGAGCCAGGGTGCTAACAACAATCCCGGCGCCGGCGCCGCCCCATCACCACCACAGCCGGGAAGACACGTTCACTCGGCGACATTTACATTTGTCTCGGGACCAGGAGTGAGGCCAGACCAGCCGCCTCCCATTCTGCCTCTCTTTGGACCGTATGCTAGATCCCACCCTCGCCATCCCTATCATCGTCATCATCATTCTGGACCACATCGCACCGTGACGTTTGTAACAGGGGGCAATTTTGCTGACGGTGATCCACTCAACAGGATGTTGGCTCACGTTATGGGCGTTCCTGATGTGGGCGGCCCTCAGGAGCAAGGTCAGCCCGGAAATAGAGCAGCTGGGCCCCCTCCGATGGGTGGTGGTGTGTTTGGGCTGCAGCAGTTGCTTTCGACTATCATGAACCCAGCCGCGGCGGTTCATGGCGATGCTGTGTTCACCCAGGAAGCGCTCGATAGAATCATCACACAGCTCATGGAGAATTCTCCTCAGACGAACGCTGCCCCGCCGGCTTCCGAGACTGCGATTGCGAGTTTGGAGAGGAAGAAAGTCGATGCCGAGCTGCTTGGGCCGGAGGGCAAAGCCGAGTGCACGATTTGCATCGACGAATTCAAGATGGGCGACGAGGTGACGGTGTTGCCGTGTAGCCACTGGTACCACGGCGAGTGTGTCGTCCTCTGGCTCAAAGAGCACAATACCTGCCCTATCTGCCGAAAGCCGATTGAGAACCGAGAAGAGAACAACGCTGGTGACAACAGCAGCAGCGGTCAGCGGTCACCTGGTGCCGATCAGGCGGCTTCTTCGTCATCACATGCGCAACAGCCTCGGCAATCTTCGAACGAGGGCGCGCGAGTGTTTGCGACCTTTTCTCCACGAGTCACTGCTCCCAGACCAGTGGAAGAAGGAGTGTCGGGTTCTTCGACTGGCTATCAAATTCCGACGTTGTTTAGCAGCTACACCTCGCGGGTTAGGACGCCGCAGGAGAACCAGGAACGACTTGAACGTATGGCTGGAGGTGGTGGTGGTCAGCGCCGTAGCTCGGCTTCCCCGCCCGGGGCCTGGCCTGAGGATGATACTGCCGAGCCTAGGTCATCTAGGCAGAGGAGTCCGTCGAGGCCGAGGGATGAGAACTGGGGTGGGAATAACAGCGGGAGCGGCACTCCGGGGGAGAGTAACAGACGGAGTTACTTTTCGAGCTTTACGTCTGCTGGACGGGATCAACAGCAGCAGCAGCAGCAGCAGCAGAGGGAGGGGTCGTCGTCTTCGAACAACAATAACAACGGTGGCAATGGTGGGAGTAGTAGTAGTAGTAGTGGTGGTGGTGGTGGTGGTATTGCTTCATGGATTAGAGATCACTGGACTAGGGACCGAGGCAATGGGAATGGGAATGGGAATGGGAATGGGGGACGACGGTGAGGGGGGAGAGGGAGGGGGGGTCTTGAGTAATGTTTATGGCGACTATGACTTTATAATCGTGCGGTTGGGTCAAGGTGGAGAGAGACGAGCTCTCGCTCAAGGATTTATTCAGCAACAGGAGGAACAGCAACAACAACTTTTAGTACATGCTCCTTGTCTTTGGGTTTTGGGGTGGGGGGGTATTTATGGTTGATGATTGGTTAGGGTCGGTCTGTCGGTCGGCGTAGGGAGTTTGGGATTTTTTTTTTTGTCGGACTACTTACTACTAAGGGACTTGAAGGTTCATTGATGGGAAAGGGAGACAGAGGGTGATGATAAGATCATGGCATGCAAACTTTGTACTTGTACCTCTTTTGCTAAGGGTTGGGGATTCACATCCTATTGCGAACTTTCAACGGGGCATTGTGGGACAGCACATCATGGCATATCATCATATCACCTGTTAGACTTCTAGCTGCACATGCAATTGGAGATTGGCATGGAGATATGGGAATGGGGCAGGCAGGCGAGGAGGGTTTTTTGAGGCGTTGGTAGTCAGGGATGTAGGGTATATATGTAGAAGTTTGTAGGTGGTGGTGAATGAAGAGTGCAAACCGATTGATACTGCGTAGATTGTGGTCGCCTGACAAGTACTAGTCGGACTGTAGATGTGGAAGGTGCAGGTTAACTCTTATTGTGAAAAGGAAGAAAAGATAGACCGGTAAACGACTTATAGTTGAAGAAGTAGCGGACGAGGCTGTAGCTTACTGTGATATCACCACGGTAGGTAGGTAGGTGGGAAATGAGGGGTTAGGTTCTTTTGGAGGGGGGAGGCCTCGTAAGCTCTTTTGATCTATACCGTGCAAGTTGGTGCGGTAGGGGTTTTGATTGGGTGTGGGAAAGTTGGTGGTGGGGGAGGGAGGGGGGGGTTTGTCGTTTGTCCTGAATGGGATAGCAGGGAGTTCGCAACATGGTCTTTGCGATGTATTCAAGAATTGGGATGTTTCTCTTTTTCTGGAGCAGTCTTTTGTTTTTTGGGAGCTATTGTTTTGTAATTTCTCGTGGTGGCGTGTTGTCGAGGACACGGTTTTTCGAAACCTTTGACTCGAGAAGCTGAAGTGAATCGACGGATGTTTGGGAGAACAGGTTTGGTTTGGTTCATCTATCCTCGGACTTGGACTGTACACTGCCGACCAACCGCATTTCGAAGTGTTGCTGAGCTGCCTTTTTTGAAGGTTGGGACGGGGAGAGAGAGAGAGAGAGATAGGGAAAAGTGGTTGCCTGATAACCTACCTAGCTGCCTTGCCATTCTCCTCT